AAGGGAGGGAGGGATGGGGGAGGGAGGGGGAGGGATGGAGAGAGGGAGGAAGGCAGGGAGGGACAGACTTCAGACTCACTGCTGTTCGCTTCCTTTGAGTCTTCTGCATTCTTAGAATCTTAAAGACCTCGGTCCCCTGGTGAGCGTTCTTCTTCCATGGACTGTGTTGTGTTGTCATTTGCACAGATGATTGAGACAGATGAAGACTTCAAACCTTTCCCTGGAGGATACGACTATTTGGTTGACTTTCTAGATTTATCCTTTCCTAACGAAAGACCAAGCCGGGAACACGCCTATGAGGAAGTAAGCAACAATCCCAGTGGGATGCCTTCCTCCCCCGCTTCCTCCCCACCTCCCCCCTTGTCCCTTCCCTCCTGGCCTCCTCTTCCCCTCCTTCACCCCTCCCCTTTTCCTTCCATTGATTCAAAAACAACTCTTTTTTTTACTATTTATTATTTTTGTTTTATGTGTATGAGTGTATTGTCTGCATGTGTGTAAGTGTACCCGTGTCATGTAATGCTCATGGAGGTCAGAAGAGGGCACTGGATCTCATGGAACTGGAGTTACAGACAGTTGTTAGCCACCATGTGGGTGCTGGGAATTGAACCCGGGTCATCTGCAAGAGCAGCCAGTGTTCTTAACCACGGAGCCATCTCTCCAGCCGCTCAAAAATAACTCTTGACTAGAAGAGAATAAGGGTTATTCTTGAGCCAAATCTGAGGGACCGTGACCAGGATCACACATACAAAATGCTCCAAATCATGTGATCCAATGTGGAAGCGACTGAATGAAGATTATAGTTAGAGAACAAAAGAAAGTCATAGATCAAGGCATTTTCCAAACACATCTGTGGGAGCGTCATGTAGGTGGATGGACGGAAATCTCTGGTTTCATAGGCTATCTGATGACATCCTTAGCTTTTGTGTTGATGGATGCTAGTGGTCTGCTAAGTTAATGTATCCCCAAAGGTTTTACCTGATAATTGAAAAGATGTTACTTCAGACACAAGTGGGGAACAAGTGGCTGTTAAGGGGAAAAGCTCTTCGAATAGCTAAGAGATCAAGCATTTACACAGGAGAGTCAGAAGGCTCCTCCATTCCCTCACACACATGAGGTCCCAGAACCAGCAGCAAAGCCTTCAAGATTTTCTGGGCCTCAAACACAGAAGTACAGATGGGGCTTAAATAAGCATTTTTATGTCGTCATTTTATGACTGGTATCTGGGCCCTCTGTTTCTTCTCATGATGGGCCATGTTATATGAGGAAAATTCCTGAATTCACTCGGTCCTCATAGTTTACAAAGTACATATCCCAGGTGTGGGTCAGGCCAGCTATTGATCCATAGATAAGCCAGGCTAATTGGGCTAGGAATCAGTCAACGGTCATTGCAGTTTAGATATCTGTCTTGTTTGATCCATGCTTGTCTTGGACTCATTAAACCATTTGGTGAACTTTCCATTCTCTTAGTTTTACATCTTCCAGCAGTGAGATCGTGGAAAGCCACAGAGCTTCAGGATGTTACAGAGTAACAAAACATCTCAGGGTAGTGAAAACACACAGCCACAAAAGAGCAAAGCATCCCCCAGCTGCCTGTCAAGGTATCTACCTGCTTTGTAAAATAAAGGAAACTTCAAAACAGTCCAAGATTAAAAGATTATATAGGAATACAGAAAGTTGAAAGACTATAACTTTTCCTTATCGAAGGAACTGTAGACCACCTGAAATAATTTTGTGTCTGGTTTGCAACTCTCCAAGATCATGAAATTTTAAGCAGCCGATCAGCCTTGTAGAAGCTTTACACAGGTATAGCTGCTTTTCTGGGAACTCCATGGTCTCTTCAAAATGCCGGCTAGATAAATCTCTGCTGGACCATTCCCATAACCATGAAATTTTCAGCGTTCCTCAAGCCAATTAACATAAGTGCAGACTAGAATACAAAATAAAACAGAAAGTTATGTTAACTCAGAGTGACTGCTAGATCGGAAAAAGACCTATCAGCAGGAATCAGACCTATCAGCAGGGTCTCCAAAATATTAAAGAATCACTAGTTTTCAGGCCTACAAGTTATAGTAGAGATCTCGCAGAAGTGTACTCAAATTCAAATGAAAGCAGACATTTTACTAAGAATCTTAATCTTTACCCCCAAACAAAGACCTAAGTCCAATGGCTACCTAAGCCTCATGTATGGGATAATTTATCTCCTGTCAGATGGTACTCCAAAGTGACTCAAAATGAGGCTTTTATTCCTCAAACATGGAGATAAAGTCAGCCAAAGTCTAAATGCCAAACCAGATTCCACAGAAAAACCAAGTAAGCCCTCTGCTAGTGTCGAGCCTTCCTGTCCAAAGTCAAACAACCATTCAGCAAAAGGCTGAACAGAACCTTCTTTAAAATTCTTTAGAAATCGGCCACAAGATCAGAAAATAGCCTAGGCCTGGGTTGTGAGAGTCCCTAGAAACTTCATAAGACTAACAACTGGAGTATGCTTTACAGGCAAGGACAGAATCCCAAAACCCTTTTCCTTTGTGAACTCATCAGTATGTGTTTACAGGTAACTGACACCCAAGGGTCAGAGAACCCGGAAAACTCCCAGTACCTGGGAATCTCCCCCAGCTACCCACTGGGGATCAGTGAGCCACAAGATTTCCTCCTGAGATTCATCTAACCCACCACATCATAAAAGACACTAGGAAACAGAAATGGACATTAGGCCAAACCTGAAGGAGGAAGGCTCCTGGTTTCTCCCAGCTTTTCTATAGCAGAACTGTCATTTTATATAGAAATGTAGACACAGCAGGAAACACACACTTATTAAGTTGCTAGAACTGTACACAATCTCGTCTTGCTTCAAGGCAAGTTCCTCCAGGTTACTGAGCTGGCCTTCCCCTTCCCCTAGCACAGGATTTCTGAGGAAATTTTAATTCTTATGGACCCATTGTTTCAATGGTCTGACACCACCAGGGTTCTGTCTCCTTCCCCAAGGAAACAGGGTCTCTGAGCATTAAATGTTGCAGAACTCAGGTTCCGAGGAGTCCCTCGCAATTAGATACTGAGCAATGGTTTTCATAGACAAAAAAACGGGAGGGCAGGAAGAACATTCCAGAAAGAGTGGGTGATGTTAAAGGTGGGAAAAGGCAGAGTGAGTTCAGCAGTGATCTGACTTCCTAGTGTGGCAGAGACAGAAAGGGAGTCAAGAAAGGGTGTGAGAGGTAATGGGACAGCGAGGAGAGTCAAGAGGACTCAGGACGCCAGGCAGGTTCTGAGGTTGTGAAGCAGGTCTGGACGGTCAGCGGGCAGCAGACGGAGCCCCTCGCTGTTGTCTGAGTGGTGTAGAGGACACCACTCAGTAGTGGACTTTGGAGACAGGTCAGGCAGAGACTAGCTCACACCTCTGCTGAGCACAGTGCTGACCATGAGGCTTTGAGCAAATCATTTAGCCTGTCTGAGCCTTCGTTGTGTCTCCTATAGGACTTATCCTCACCATATGAGACTGCTGGACCAGTCACACACACTAATACACACGGCATGTATTAGTGTAATACACGCTAATACACTCTGCTTACACAGAGTGTGAGAACCCTTAGCCACGGCCCAGGGCATGCAGTCTGCCTTGAGTTTATCGCATGTGCTGTAGAAATGTGTGAGGCCCTAATTGTAGAGCATAAACAAGATCTTCATGTGCTAAACAGAAAAGAATGTTGGGGAACCATACTTCAATAAACTGACTTGAATTTTATGTTTAGTAAAAGCACTTGCTGTGTTAAAACTTCAGCGAACTATATCCAGCCATCTGATTTATGGCTCTTAGCACAGTGATTTCACAGGAAGGAGGTCCTATGGGAAGCCTCCCTTCCCTCCCTTCCCTCCTCTCTCCGCCTTTCTTTCCTCTTTCTCCCTTTCTCTTCCCTTCTTTACTCCTTCCTCTTCTCATCTCTTCTCCTGCTGGTTCATTCCTATCTCAAGCCATCCCCACCTCAGCCTTCTGATAGCCGGGGCTATGGCGCTTGCTGCTGCACCCAGTGAGGCTCGTCCCCGCTTTAAACAAGATCAGCCTCTTCATTTGTGCTTTCATATACCAAGCGTGCGCCTATCTTCTTCTGCACCCGACACAACTGCAGATGTTTTCCAGATGTTATGAGCAGGTGTCACTGTTTGCCCCGTTCTATGATGCGGTGCCCAGGAATGAAAATCACCAGCCCGAGGTCACGCAGCAGTAAGCGGTGGTGTCCGCTTTTTAGTTTGCTTTCTATTGCTGCAATGAAACACTGACTAAAATCAGCTTGGGAGGAAAGCGTTCATTTCATCTCACACTGCAGCCCACGGTGAAGCCACAGCTCAGCCTAAGCAGAGACCACGGAGGATGATGCTCACTGCCTACTTCCCCTGGCCTGTCACCTACCTTTGTAAAAACACTTTATTTTCTTATTTTATGTGCATGAGTGTATTGCCTGCATGTAGGTAAGTGCACACGTGTCATGCAATGCCCACAGAGGTCAGAAGAGGGTGCCGAATCCCCTGGAACTGGAGTCACAGATGGTTGTGAGCCACCATGTGTGTGCTGGAATCGAACCTGGGTCCTCTGCAGGAGGAGGCTTAACCACTGAGCCATCTCTCCAGCCCCAGTAAATTTTTAAAAATTATTTAAAAGCAATTCTTTGTATACACACAAGTTTACCACTTAAAGATGAAAGCAAATTTGCAGACTATTGAGACAGGCTTGAGACAGGCTTGTCTGTCACATAGAAATTACATTTTGGCTGAGTATTTGATGCCGTGAGACAGAAAGTGTCTTCTAAATTTTTCAGAGTTGATCAGTATTTTGATTTTATAATCGTCAGTGCTAAAACTGCTTCACATAAATACATAGTACAAAATGACAGAAATATGTTTAGGGCTATTTCAGAAAGTTCTGTCCTAATCTCAAGCCAAAATTTATTGAATTTTTTAAAAATGAAACTCAAGTTAGCTACTCAACATCATTTTGGTCTTTTTGGTTTCTGTTTGTTTTTGTTTTTGTTTCTATTTCTGTTTTTGTTTTTGTTTTTGAGAGAGTCTTCTAGTCCCAGTCAGTCTGGAAGTCACTACGTGCCTTGCTCTCACAAAGATCTGCCTGCCCCTGCCTCCTAAGGACTGGGATTTAAGGTGCGCACCACCACGACATTTTTTTAAAATCATAAATTCTACCACAGTATAATCCAGATAAACAGTAATTTGATACATGCTGAGAAATGACAATAGGAAAACATTTTAAAGTCTTTGTTTTCTGTAATTCTTTTTCTATACGAACAGAGAACTTTGTCCAGTAAAACATTGCAATTCATAACATATGATAGTCTCAAATTTGAGCCCATGTGTTTTGGGCAGCGTCTGTTGGCTTTGTGTGGTGTCCATAGCATGCATGTTGTCCATTCAGAACCAAGGCAGCAGTGAAGTCACGTGATTTCTAGCAGTCATGGGTGCTGCTAGAAATGCCTCAGATTCATAACATGATTGATTTGAACTGAGTTTTTTCATTACACATTCAGAAACCTTTTACTGTTGCCAAGTTTTTGACAATCCCAACATTCAGTTATGTGACCCTGCCCCCCATGGAGTCATGGCTTACCTTTCAAGAAGGCCATTCTCAGGCCACCATCATTTCAAGATGTTCATAAAAAGTCCTTCCTCTTTTCTCTGCCTCACAACAACCCGATGTAATACAGAAAAACCATGGTGAGGAACACCTGAAAATCCCAGCTGTGGTCAGGCTCGGGGAGGGGGGCCGCTTAGCAAGCTTACACAGAGCGCGCCAATGAAGGGCTGAGGTCGAGCCACCCCAGCTGGCCTCCAGCCCTGTATCCTTTTGTACAAAGCGTCAGTGTCTGTGGTGGGGATTTCTTAAGGACCTCATTACTGACTTAAGGCCATCCTGCTCTGGGGCAGGCTGAGCACCCACAGGCTGCCAGGAACTCACAGGCTCTGCCTGGCTTCTGAGTTTCGGGTGGAGAGACAGCATGCCAGCCTTTGACAGGGCCATGAGAACAGCATGTATGGAGCACTTACCGTGTATCCAGCCTTGTTTGAAGTGTTTCATATTTGTACTTACTCGGTCCTCCCAACAACCCTATGAGGAATGTTACCTTATTCATTTTATGGATGAGGAAACAGAAGCAATGATAGTAAACTCACACATCTGGCCCTGGGGTTGAGCCCCATGGTCCCCCAGTTGGCCCTGCCCCCCACGCCCTTCCTGTGGCCTTAGCGCCTCCTCGGTTGGTCAGCATCTCTCCCTCACTCCTTTTGTGCAGCTGCTTCCCTTAGGGACACAAGGGCTTGGACGCCCGCGTTCCCAGGGCCACCTCGAGACTTGCTGCATGTTGTTTCAGATCCGGAGCCGTGTGGATGTCATCAGGTACGTGGTGAAGAATGGCTTGTTGTGGGATGATTTGTACATTGGATTCCAGACCCGGCTGCAGCGGGATCCTGACATATACCATCATCTGTAAGTCTGCGAATGCTGGTCGCCCTGGGCTAGTGCAGAGGGTGTAGGTACGGAGCAGAGTAGGTGACTGACTGTGCTCCCCAAGGCCCCTTTGTTACGGTGCCATCTTTTAGTCTCTGGTTTTTCCAAGATAGGATCTTACTCTATAGCTCAGGCTGACCTCAAACTTAGGGCAATTCTGCTTCACCCTGACCCACATGCTGGGATTTACAGGCGTGTGCCATGCGGCCTGACTCTGCCTTTTAACAAGGACGTTGAGCCTTGCGTTTGGTGAGCCTGGGGTTTACAGGAATGGCTCAGTTTTTCTGCCTATGTTCTAAGCTGCACACAGCTTCAAGATGGTATTTGGAATGCTTGCAATAAAATCTCAGAAAGAACAGCTTTCCATTTTTATATGTGCAAAATCAATAAAGAGAATGTAGTCTCATTATCACCACTGAGCCTATGAAAATGCAAATATTTAATTTTAAATTCCAATTATTCAAAATGTCTTTGGGGGCTGTAGAGATGCTCAGGGGTTAAGAGCACTGGCTGCTCTTGCAGAGGACCAAGGTTTGGTTCCCAGCACCCACATGGCAACTAACAACTGTTTGTGACTCCAGTTCCAGGGGATCTGACGCCCTCTTCTGACCTCCAGGGGCATTGCACAACACAGGTGCGTTTACATACATGCAGGCAATATGCTCATACACATAAAAATAAAATAAAAGATATTAAAATATTATTGGCCTGCAAATGGTTCAGTGAGTAAAGGTACCTGCTGTTAAGTCAGGTGACCTGAGTTCAATCCCAGAGACCCACGTGGTAGAGGGAGAGAACTGACTCCTACAGGTTGTCCACTGACTCCCACATGCACAGGATGATATGGGTGTGGCCCCATAATAGATTAGAAATATATTTAAAAATTAAAATATCTAGGTAATACCCCCTAGCTAGTGGGCTGCAATTGCAAGTATTTTAAAAACATGTATTTTACTCATTTCCTTTTTAATGGTCACTTTATGGAGGTTTGTTTTATTTTTGTTTGTTTGCTTGTTTTTCTTTTTTGATTGATTGAGACAGACTCTCACTCTATAGCCCAAGCTGGCCTAGAACTCACTGCATAGCCCAGGCTGGCCCCAAGCTTACCCAGATCCTCCTGTCTTGGCTTCCCACATGCTGGGATGCAGATGTGAGCCACCACACTCAACCCTTTTTATTAATTTCATCTGAATTTTTTTATGTGAGTGTTTTGTATGCATGTATGTAAGTGCGCCTGTGCCCTGCAGTGCTCACAGAGGTCAGAGGAGGGTATTGGATTCCCTGGAACTGGAGTTACTGACAGTTGTTAGCTGCTATGTGGGTGCTGGGAACCAAACCCAGATCCTCTGCAAGAGCAGCCAGTGTCTACCACTGAGCATCTCTCCAGCCCTCCCAACCCCTTCCTAATTTTTAATTTAATTAATTTTTTTTTATTTTATGTGTATGAGTGTATTTCTTGCAAGTATCTAAGTGCACCTATGTCATGCAATACCTGTGGAGACCAGAAAAGGGCATCAGATTCCCCTGGAACTGGAGTTACTGACAGTTGTTAGCTGCTGTGTGGGTGCTGGGAACTGAACCCGGCTCCTCTTGAGACAGTGCTCTTGATCTCTGAGCCACCTCTCCATTCTGGCCATTGTTTCTTTTTTTTATTGTGTTTTACTTTTAAAATTATTTTATTTTGGGGCTGGAGAGATGGCTCAGTGGTTAAGAACACTAGTTGTTCTTGCTGAAGACCACAGAGAGCTACCTGCCTCTGCCTCCTGAGTGCTGGGATTAAGGCTAAAATTACATTTTAAAGATTTAAAGAATGTAGAAGTTCACTTACTGCAAAGTAACAGCCCCAGCCCCTCCCCGAAACCTCTGCTTCCTGCCCCTCCCTCCATCCTCTCTCTGGGTGACCCTTGATAAAAGGGTGTATGTCTCCCTGGCCTATTTTTGGACATACCCACATTTCTGTAGATATATTTATCTTCAGTGAAACATTACACACTGGTGGCAGGAACGATGTTACCGCAGTTAACACAGACAGTTAACTGGTGTGGTTCAGACTCCACCGCAGACGTTCCAACTATGACCAGGGTGTTTTTTATCAGTCTCCCTTCCCACCCTCTCAGTGTTGGGGCATCTTCAACAGAGTTCATGTAAGCAGAACTGCACAGCAGAAGCCCAGGCTCCCACACTCGCCTGCACTCTCAACCCCCCACCTCAAACACCCCCGACGCCCCCACTCACCCCACCCCTGTCTCAGGCAGCCAGTTAATGGGATGAGTAATAACAAAAGAGGGAAGGTTCCTCAGTGTGGCCACACGAAAAACAGACGAAGAGCCCAGGGACCCAGTGTCACCTTCGGGGGCACTGACAGGAGCTTTCAGTGTAAACAGAGAGAGAGGACAGCAATGGAGCCTGTTAAATGCTTTTTTGCCATAAAACAGTAATAGTCACGGTAGATTTTTTGAAAAAAAAAAAAAACAGTTTAAAATATAAAAAAATTAAAACCAGAAATAGCCGGGCATGGTGGTGCATGCCTTTAGTCCCAGCACTCGGGAGGCAAAAGCAAGCAGATCCTCTGTGAGTTCAAGGCCAGCCTGGTCTACAGAGTGAGTTCCAGGTAGCTGGAGCTACAGGGAGATCCTGTCTCAAAAAGACCAAAATAAAAAATTAAAAAAAAACAAAAACAGAAATAATCCTCTCACTCAAGAGGAATAACTCATGTTTTGGTGTCTAGTCAACATTCTATATTTCCAAGCACATACGTGTGTGCTTTTTATAAACATGGGCTATGAGGGGCACACTTACGTACTTGTACATCTGGCAATTTTGCGTATCACTGCGTGTCTCTCACATCGTCATTTTAATGCCTGCTTTTCTGACAGCATATGCCGGAAATCAGATCTCACTTAACCAGTCACAGGCTGACCTTCAGGTTCTTTTTAGGTTTTGACTCTTTGAAGCCATGACTCGGTGAATTATGTCTGCCGTCTTTTGGCACATCCTGTGTACCCTTAGTCATCCTTAGGATGAGTTCCTAAGTGTGTTGTTACTGGCTCTGTACTGACTAATAGAGCACTCAGCCAGGCTGTTCTTGAGGAAGCCAGTTCACCCCTGCACATCTAAGGGGTCACAAGCTGTAGGTTTTAGTCCGGGAAGAATTGGGATGGGGTGGGAGGCATGGGTAACCAAGCTGTCCTGCTCAAGCTATGGTCTGGAGGATCACTGTGTCTGCAAGGTGGGGTAGCAGGAAGAGGTCATCCCTCCAGGGCACAAGCTGGTTCCTACAAGATGACCCTTTCTGTATCTCATACAGACATAGATGTTCACTGATGGGATTGCCTTAAAGCAAGGCTGGTCATAAAAAGCAAGGCACAGTCATGCTCTAAGGGACTGGAAATTCTGAGCTGCAGAACGTCTCCAGAAGTAGCTTTGTCTTCTGCGGAGGGCTGAGTACCAGGCATGAGTAAACTGTAAATAAATAAAGTCAATCCTGGCCAAGCACAGGGTGTAGACATTTGCGAAGAGCAATTCCCCCACCCTCCCCCTCTCTCTTACAGGTTTTGGAATCATTTTCAGATAAAACTCCCCCTAACACCACCGAATTGGGGGTCATTCTTGATGCACTGTGGTTAGAGAGCACCTGGGATGTGCAGGTAAGCATCTGAGGGCGGGGTGGGGGACGCCCAGCTGCCTATCACATGACACTTTGCCACCTAAGTTGCAGAAAACCTGACTTTCAGAGGACTGAGAAAGAGGGAAGAATCCAAGAAAAACACCAATGTTTAAAAATTAGTGACTAGGGGCTGGTGTGGAGGCACAGGCCTTTAGTCCTAGACTCAGAAAGCAGAGGCGAGTAGATCTCTGAGATCAAGGCCAGCCTGGTCTATATAGTGCATTCTAAGCCAGCTGGGTCTACAGGAAGACCCTGTCTCAAAAGTCTCTCCCCCCAAAAAAATCAGTGAATAAGGCAAGAGTAAATAAGCAGGGTGCTCCTTCTAATGTCTATAGATCCCATGGACAGGCTGAGGTGAACACACAGCCTATTCTGGAACAGACGCTGTTCCAGAGAGAAATCCTGAGCACAGGGGGACACAGCACAAGCAGGGAGAGAGAAGTGCTAAAGGCAGCGGTGAGATGCAGCCCAAGATCAACTTTTCTAGAAAAGTTGCAGCCAACATAGGGCTTCATTAGCTGAATTACAAAACTTGTTTCCATTTGATCAAAAGGGCCACACGCTATCACTACAGAATGTCAACTCTTAGCATATGCACTTATATTCATTTATCCCACCAACAGCTACCAGTCACGTCTGATTGTAGAAGGTAATGATTGCCTCTCCCAGTTCACACTCAGCTTCTTAAAAGTAGACATTCTCGAGGCTGGGGAGATGGTTCAGTTGGTAGTGTTTGCCACACAAGTGTGAGAACCTGAATCCAATCCCCAGCACTGGTGTAGAACAGTAGACACACGGTGGTGCACACAGGAGGTGTACCCTTTTCATCCCAGTGCTGGTGGGGAGACAGGTGGATCCCTGGGGCTCACATCCAGCCAGCCTTGCCTAATAGGTGAGTTCCAGCCAGAGCCCGTCTCAAAGCGATGGCTCTTGAGGAAGATACCTGAAGTTGACCTCTGGTGCATGAGTGCACAAGTACATGCACACATACATGTACACATGCATGTATACACATAAAAATAGACACAGTTGCAAGATAGCCAGGTGCATCACACAGAGCCTCATAAAATTATGGATGATATACATTCAGGGGAGAAAGAACACCGGGCTTTTTGTCCCCTACCCACTCAGGACTGCCATCGTTGTGACTTGCGCCTTAAAATTGGCTTCCAGGTCTTTACCAGTAGGATTAAGGATCATATCAGAAAATCCCTTTACATTCCATTCAGGGATTAACTTTTGTGTTTCAGGCTTTAGTTTTGCACAGGGCGTTGGGTTAGGTCTTTTCAGTTGTGATTATAAGCTGAAAGGGATGCAAAGAAACTTCACATACCATATCAACAAGGAGACTCATGAGCACTGTAAGTTCATGCTGGAAATGCCAAGCAGGGAAAGGTTATAGGTGATGTTCTGAGATGATCAGGAAGCAGAAGGCAAAGGACTAGGAGACTGGGAACAGATGAGGGTCTGTAAAAAGTAAGACTCTCCAAAAAATCAAAACTGATGTAGCTCCATAGTAAAGCACTTGATTCACACATAGGAGCCTCTGGGTTTGATCACCAGCACTGCAGGGGGAATTAGATTCTGAGTAAAGGTGTTCATAAACAAACTCTAAAAGAGGGGAAGGCAGGAAGAACATTCCAGAAAGAGTGGGTGATGTTAAAGGTGGGAAAAGGCAGAGTGAATTCAGCAGTGATCTGACTTCCTAGTGTGGCAGAGACAGGGAATCAAGAAAGGGTGTGAGAGGTGATGGGACAGTGAGGAGAGGACTCAGGACGCCAAGCAGGTTCTGAGGTTGTGAAGCGGGTCTGGACGGTCAGTGGGCAGCACACAGAGCCCCGAAGCCAAGGTCGGAGCCGTTCTGAAAGAAGATGCATTTGAAGCACTTTTGCATAAGTGGATGAATGAAATGGAGCCAAGACAGGGCAGGGCAAACCGAGAGTCTTTGAGAACATCGGAAGCTGCCTCGTGGGGAGGCAGTAAAGTGTGGTGGCCTGCCTGTCACACTTGGAATATGACTTGAGCTCACTCTCACTCTGTCACCCACTGTGACTTGGGCAGATTTCTGCTCCTTGTGTCCCAGGCTGCTTCTAGTAAGTGGATACAATAACAGCACATCCACATGGGGCTGTTATAGGGTAAGGCACGTCTCGAAGAGTGACAGGCACATAGTAGGTCAACAACTTCACCCCTGCACAGGGGAGCCACAGAGCCCACAGCGGGCACAGGGTAAGTCACCTGAAGTTGGAAACATATTCTTTCTTACCTTAAAAGTAGCAATGTAGCTGAAGTAAAGAACAGAAGTGCCAGGGCAATGAAGGGATGGGAAACTGTTACCAGGAGGTGTGTGCTGTGTTTTAGTTACTTTTCTCTTCGCAGTGACAAAATGCCTGGTAAAAACAACTTAGAGAAAACAACTTGGTTCACAGTTTGAGGGAAACAGACAGGCGCGGTAGGGAGCGCATGGCGGCAGGAGCGGGTGGCTGGTCACACTGTGCCCACAGTCGTAAAGCATTTTTAAATGCCCTAAACACACTTGTAACTGTTGTTTTTCATTCTTTCATTCAGAGATGCCCAACAACACTGAAAACTCTAGAACGTATCCCTTCATCTTGAACACAACAGTTTATACCAAAGAGACTGTGTTTTACAGCAGCAGACTCCTACACTACACGCTGCATTCCAGAGATGCCCACTTCCTTCTGTGAATCCCTACATAGACTGACTCAAAACAGCTTTGCTGGGGCTGGAGATGCGACTCAGTGGTAGAGCCTGTGCTTAGAATGTGTATGAGTCTGGGTTTCATCTCCAGCACCCCGCAAGTTTATCCCACCCACACTTCTCTATAAGAAGAACCAAGGAAAACCAGCAGGAACAAGCTCTGTGTGGACCACGAAGTCACATGGAAGGAGATGTGAATCCAAGCTTAGAAATGGAAAGAGGAAGAGTTTGGAGAATGAAGAGACAGAAGGAAAGGGGTGGGGGAAGGGATGGAGAGGCAGAGGGAAGAGGAAGGAGAAGCAGGTGAAGGAGCGAGCAGAAGAAAATAGGAAGGAGAAAGGGCTAAGCAGGGTCGGAGAGGAGGAGCAGTAGCAGGTCTTTTGTTCCTTAATAAGGTGATTCCACAAACAGTGCTGGGGATTCCCTAGAGTAAGAAAGTTCCTGAGTTGTGCTGGGTTTTCAGAAACTGTTGTTGGAATCATCTGTTCACCAAAACGGGGCCCCACAGGCTGATCTAAAAGGATGGAAATGATTCTGAGTCCATTACAAACTTCATTACTTAAAAAGCCTATGAATTTTAGCAGTTAGGTGGATTTTGATCAAGAGAAAACAGGAACACTAAATAATTTACAGAGGATAAAAATCGACAGAAAATTAAGACAACCCCACAAACAAAAAGCCCTTTTCCAAACTTCTAAAGTCATTGTTCCAATGACTAAATGAGGCAAATCATTGTCATGTGTGTTTTCATGATGCCTATTTTTAAAAATATATATATTCATATGATTATGTCAGACATACCAATTAACTTGTAAGAAACTAATTGTAATCATGTTTCCATTTTACCTTTTGATGTTTCCCACATGCCTGTCCGCTGACTGAAGATGAAATGTCCTTTCTGATTAGAATCTACCTCTGATTCTCAAAATACGAGAAAGGGACCGCACAGTCTGTTCCTTTAACTCTAGTCATTGAAAAACTGATTGTCTCTTTCTCACTGAAATTAGCATCATCAATGACAGACTTTTTGCCTTACCTCATCCTGGATGAAATAGAAATGCTTGGAATTGAGGAATTACACTCTGTGATTTATACTATAAATTATTCTATTATTGATAAAAATAAATGTGTATGTGGACAGAATATATTAGAATGTATATGATGAACAAATAAAAGAGTTTTATGTCTGCATGTATGTGAGTGCACCCGTGTTGTGCACTGCCGCGGAGGTCAGAAGAAGGCTTCGGATTCCCCTGGAACTGGAGTTAAGGACTGTTCTAGCTGCCATGTGGGTGCTGAGAATTGAACCCAGGTCCTCTGCAAGAGCAGTCAGTGCTCTTAACTGCTGAGCCATCTCTCCAGCCCCGAGTATTTTAAAAATAAGAATTTTTTTCCTCACTGTGTTACCTAGGCTGACCTCAAACTTGTGGCAATTCTCCTGCCGCTGTCTCCCAAGTGCTGAGGTTCCAGTTAGCCAAAAGATCTGTATTTTAAAAATATTTTCTTAATTTATGTGTATGAGTGTATTGCCTGCACCCATGTCGTGCAATGCACATGGAGGTCAGAAGAGGGCATCAAATTCCTCTGGAACTAGAATTGTTGTTAGCTGCCATGTGGTGCTGGGAATTGAACCCGGGTCCTCTGCAAGAGCAGCCAGTGCCTTTAACCGCTAGGCCATCTCTCCAGCCCCGAGTATTTTGAGAAGAACACAAAAGAAGCGCCCTTCAACTGAGCTCTTATGAACACTGATTTGAAGGTCTACTCTGGTGTTTCACTGTTCTCTCGGATATCTGGGCTTCCACAGTCCCCTGTAATCCCAGGCCCTCTACTGCAAGAATCCCTCCCTGGGGGAGATGTGAACAGTGTCCACCTCCTCCTCATAAGGGTCCATCAACCAACCAAATTGCCATTCCACCACAGTGCACCCTCAGGGACCAATGGGTTCATTGGGCTTATTTACAGAGGATGGGGGGGCATGGGGGAGGGAGAGAGTGGGTGGGGGCGGGGAGCATGGGGGAGGGGCTACTTACAGGGATCTAGGGGACCCAAAAGCAGTTGCACTGAATAGTCTTCACCCAGCATGGATGATGACATCCATAGCAACATAGATGAAGACCCCCCCTCCCCGCTTCAATGAACCTCTCCCAGCCTATAAATGCCAGCACCTCCCAAGACACCACATGCAGTTCGGGCAGAACTGTGTACCAACCTTGAGAAGAGTGGCTGGAATCTCAGGTAAGGGTTCAAGGACCCTCCCCACCCATTGCCCCTCACTGGAACTGGGAGTGAGCAGCTCAATCTTGAGGGTCTCTTGCAGGCAGCACAGCTGCTCTAATGAAGATGGCGTTGTTTTGCTTAACAGCACCTCCAATGCACTGACCCAACATGGCCCCTTGCTCCTGAGCCCCGTCTTCCTCTGGCGTATCTCCCCACATCACCAGCTCTTCGGGTCTAGTATGTCCTGTCTCACGTCCTACTTACACAGAACACCAGGAAATAACCTTTATGCATTGTTTTCTCGCATCCACTCTGCAAATTCTGTCATCTCCACCCTTCGAGCATGCCCAGGGTCTGACCACTTAATACATCTTCCCCGCTACCGAGATCAGCAGAGGAAGGAAACCCAGAACAGGGGCTGATCTTCCTCTCCATCCAGAGAAGGCCAGGAAGCTAAATGCTTTGAAACACCCCGAAAGCCACCCCACTGGGACAGCATCCTGGAGACTTAGTATAAAGTCGCCGTAGGGGGCTTGTTTGGGACTTCCAGGAGCACTCAGGCCACCTGGCCATGTAAGGGCCCCGCTCTGCAGAACCCGTTGATTAGGGCTGGGCAGAGGAAGTTCTCCTTTGTCTAGAGCCTTGACAGCACCCTTACCTATTTACCTTTGTGTTTTGGTTGGCTTTTATAACAGCCAGTGCAAAGCTAGAAGCAACCAGTTGACAGCTGACATAGACTTGGTGAGTCATTTTCCTGTCACTGTTACCGAAGCATCTGAGAACAATTGTAAGGGAGGAATTGTCATGGTCACTTGGCCCTATGCACTTGGGCAAAACATCATGGTGGAAGGAGTGTGGTGGAGGAGAGTCTCACCTCATGGCAGTCAGGAAGCAGAGGAAGGCTGTGACAGGAAGGGCAAGCTGGACATACCCCTAGTGACCTACTTCCTCTAAACAGGCCGGAAATTCCACCACTTCCTAACTGTTTTTTCAAATTTTGAATCCAAGCTGAATGTGGTGGATCACTTGTATAACCCCAGAACGCAGGAGGCTGAGGCAGGAGGCTTGCCATGAGTTCCAGGCCAGCCTGAGCTACATCAGTGCATCCAACTAGTCATTGGGTCAAAGCCTTCACACTCTGAATCTGCATGGAAATACCCAGAGGTGTGTTTTTCTGATCCAGACATTACTAATCCTATCAAGTTGGCAATCAGGATTGACCCTCACATTCAGTGGTATTGTGTTGTGTCTGAGGGTGACAACCAAAGGAAAGAGAACCACAAAGATGCTGGAGGGGCCGTGGAATAGTTGAAAAGGCCTGAAAGAAGGTAACAGAGAACAGAGGACACATGAGAAATGTATTCAGGGAAACAAACATGTTGGGGAACCCTGCTGTTAAGGTCAGCTCCTTTCTCAGCAGGGGCTTCCTGCCTGACCTACCTGGAAAGTGCCTCCAAGCACAGATACCTGACCTTATTCAGAGCATGACCTCTGGCATAGTTACCTGCAATAAAACTGCCCCCAGGTTTTTTCTATATGATAATTAGGCATTGCCCTATAGTCAGATGATGGGATCCCCTACCACATGTAAATAAAGCATACTATGAGCACCTATCAGCTGAAGCTTTGGCTGCTGCCTCCACACTATATTTTCCCTGACCCCCACTGGATAAATGGAGCTGTATCACTGAATATGACTCCCCGGGAGGGCTTTCTTCTGTCAGTGCTCACTGGCCATCCTGACCCCATTCATTGCTTCTGCTCCCTTTGTCCTCGTGGACCGGTGGCCAACGACCCACAAGGGGAGGTAAAGACACCACAGCTGGCGCCCAAACGCATGGAGTTTGTGAGTACCCCCTCACCCCAGGAGGGTAGCGGCAGCTTTGCTTTGGCCATCCCACCCTTGAGGATTGGCAGTCTCTCCTCTTTTTCCTCCTTTTATTTTCGGTCTGAGTCTTTGCGTGGGACTGTTAAAGACAAAGGAGCAATTGAGGCTTTCTGATCAGGGCTACTCCCTGATGTTAGCCAAAGGCTCTTAGCCCTCTTAACAGACCCCGACTGCCCACACGGGTGTAGACAAGATCCCCTATCTATACATCTTTCTAATGCAAAAACCCAGTAATGCAACGAACAGTTAATTGCTCTTAGAGCGGTCGCTGGATCTCAAATTTGCGGGCAGGTTTGCGCTGTGGCCTATGTGGAATCACCTGGGGTTTTGATCCCAGGCATGTTCCCCTAGAAATCAGCATTTCACCTCACTTTCCTTTTCTATCTTGAACAACTCCCCCAGAAGCAAAATCCCCAAAGTTCTAAGGGATCTTTATATAAGCCTTAAAGTCAACTTCTAAAATAAACTTCCCTAATCTGTTTTGTTATCTTGCCCCCGGGGTGCTCAAGCCCAAGTTAAACCAGTTAGTGAGAATTTAAATTAGCCTCTGCAGAGCACTTAAAGAATTTAAGGCAGCTTCCGCCATACAAACGGAAAAAAAGACTTTAAAAAAAAGCCATTTTTTTCCGTAAACTTTTTCCTGGGGAAGGGGCTCATCAGAGAACCACCCCATCTCTCTCTCTCTCTTTGCTTTATCTCGGTTATTGCCTTCGCGAGGGTCTGAATACGGTTTGTGGGCAACTGAAGCCTCTTGGTCGGGGCAACTCCCTGATATTAGCTGAAGGCCCCCTGCCCTCTTTCCAGACCCTGACAGCCCGACTGGGTGTAGGAAGTAACCTTTAAAACTATCATGAAAATCTGGTAAGGCAGCAACCAGTTAAAAGTAACAAGGACGGTTGCCAGTCCCTTAAATCTGCGGCTAGGCTTGTGTTTGTCAAAGCATCTCAATCCCCCGTGGCAGGCTGCCTCAGGAACGTTGAACGCCACTGACAACATTTCCTTTCTTTTCTATAATGGGTAATTCAGCATCACGCCAAAAAACCTCCAAATTCTCTCCCTTAGAGCCCTACTTAAATCAAAAGGACTTAAGATTTCCCAAAAGGAAAGCTCAAAATTTTGGAATGAAGTATTTCAATTCACACCCTGGATCGTGTCAGCAGACATTTCTGACCCAGAGGTCTGGACCAACGTTGCCTATCTGGCTCATAAAAAGGAAATCCAGGAAAGGCACCATTTGCCCCTTTCCTTTCTCCCCATAATAACAGCCATTCGACAATGCTTAGGAAACCCACCTAAGACTGAGGAGAACTTACTAGCACCAGGGGATAATAAAGGGGAGGGTTCAAATAAAGAAAAAGACCCTAAAGATTGACCAACAGCAGATTCGACAGCCCTAAAAAATAAAGAAAAAGACCCTAAAGATTGCCCAACAGCAGATTCAACAGCCCTAAAAAATAAAGAAATAAATCCTGAAGATTGCCCGGTAACAGATTCAACAGCCTCCAAAATAAAAATTGACCAAGTCAGACAAAAACCACCCATCAACAAAAATAACCTTTATCCGCCTCTTCCCCCCTACAAATCCTCATGGACTGATTTAACAAACCCGGATGTTAAAACCCAGACTTCAAAAACTCCTGAAGATTCCCAGACAAATCCCCCTCCTCCCTCTTCCTGTGGTGCCACGCCCCACAGCCATTGAACAGCTCTGTAATCTCAGGGATAATGGAGTTATTGCCCCCAGAATCTCCAGACACAATGGCCTCAGGACCCAAAAACCCCATCGATAGAAGCTTTTCCCATTAACCTACAAATAACAAGGCAACGTTCACTGGCTTGGTATCCCCTCCTGGCAGCAGACTTAAAAGAGCTGCACCAAGCTGTCCATGAGGATAGGATCCATGCTCCATGGACAAAATCTATACTACAAACCTTTAATACTAACATCCTGACCCCCCAGGACTGGAGAGATATCTGTATATCCACCCTCCCCAGTCCATTATTTGTACAATGGGAGGCTTTATTTAGAGATGAATG